CCACTTTGTTCTTCTTTGAATCTCCTTTTAAACCACATTACAAAGCTAGAACCTCTTGGCAGCTCCTGATGAATGTCTTAATGAACATAAAATTGAAATGTGAGAGAAAGTAATTGGGAGGTAAGAACTGTCATGCTAGAATGAGTGATGAATATTCAGCGTAATTATAATTTGTGTGTAATACTAGGCTATATGGCCCAGAAGGTTATTTGTTAAGAATTTGAAATGTAAGAGCTTTATCAAAAATTTTTCAAATATTTAAATGGACTTAGGCTGCAGGTGATGCGAAGATCACTCATCCAGACAGAAACAGAGAGGTATTTGTATTACACTTTTTTCCTTTCTCTTTCTTTCAGGTGACTTGTTGATATAGGACATACATTTAGTCATTGCTGACAGCATGTTTGCCTAGTGTACTAAGCAGTTCAAGCAGTAAGAGAAAAATTACACTTTTGCACAATAACTTATTTTCAAGACAATTTAGCACAATGGAAAGCTTTCTCCTAGCTATAGTTTCAAAGACTGAAACACAATATTCATCATTACCTTTTAGTAGCACCAACAAAAACTTATAAAGGTACTGTAAAAATAAAGAGCTCAAGTAACAGAAGAAAACAGAGAAGTTGGTATTAGGGAGCAATAATGCTTAACTTGTTTTCCTTCAAACACACAAAAATGCTATTTGAAAAGCAGATATTTACTGGTGTTCGTGTGAGTCAATGTAAATTCTTATTTATCTAACTTATTGTCATAAGTGACAAAAGCCAATGATAACATTGTCCAACTCACAGCATGACACTTGGGAAATACTTTAATAAGCCAGTGTGTGTATCAGTGAGTCTCAGGGTTAACTGGTACCACTCCAAAAGAATGTATCTGCAAAAGGCATTGTGAACACTGCGGATGGAAGGTATCTCTGACCTGACAGCACTTGAAAGGATCACAACGATGTACGAATCTGGTGTTTTGCTGCAGCTTATTTGGGATAACTGTAATTTAGTTAACATCTTGGCGTCTTAAAGTTACTTAAGCAATAGGCATAGTATTTTTCCCCCCACTGTGTACAAATAGTGTACATCTTGAAAATAATGAGGAAATTTAAAATTTAGACTCCAAAGGAGGTATATATCTTTTTATAGGTAGCTAGCTAACAGACAGACATTCCCACACAAAGAATAAAGTAAGTAGACAAAGAAATGGTTAGTTACATGACTGTACACATATACAGCTGAATCTGGGGAAGGGATATAAACTCTTCCCTTCTGTAATTGGAATAAAAGTTTTAAATGAGAAGAAAATAAGAATCCCTCACCTTCTATCCCCAAATCTCAGCCAAACTGTCAGCAATGCTACTTCATTCCCTGTGACAGGAAATAAAACAAGACACCTAACAAATTCTTGATCTGGGGGATTTCTTGGTGTCAAATTTCACACTACCAGATGCTTGCATTTTCTTGAGTACTCCAGCCATTTCTTTATTTGCAGAGTTTGGCAGTTTTGAAATAAAATTTGAAATTAATTTCAAATGCCTTAATTTCCCCTCATGTCTAGTCTCTATCAAGCTTTCCTTTGAGAGGGTCCCTGTTATTACTGCTTTGTCTGGTTAAGCCTATGACTTCCTGACTTACGACTGCTGCTATAAATGGGAAGTTCAGCATTTCATGGAAGAATGAAATAATGAAAAGAGAAAAAGACTTGGGTATCATAGGAGCATGTACGGGCCACTAATATAAGTCTAAAGGACAGGCTGTACTGAGGTCATTTCCATCAGTGAAAGGTGCATACTGATACAATTTTAAAGCTAGCAAAGTCTCACTACTGGAAATAGTTCTGTGGAGCTTTGCCTACAGTTCTGGACAGCCAGGTTCAAGAAAGGTGATTTTAAATCACAATAGGTACAAAGAAAGGTTGCAAGACTGATAAGGGGAAAGGAGATTCTAACCTGCAGGAGGTGACCAGCCCTTGACTTATGCACTAAACAAATAACAACCCCAAACACACAGACTGCTCTCTACAACTAAATACTTAGGAATAAAGAAGAAAACACATTCTTTACGTTAACTGACAGTGATGATTTAGTAACAATCTGACAGTGGTCATTTATACTAAAGATTGAAGGCAATAGCTGGATTGTTAGAAAATGCTGAAGAATGCTGTTCTTTGATTCTGGGGGTCGGGATATTAGCCTGCATCCACCATATGAGTACATTTAAGGACAAAGGGGTTTGTCTCTGAAACGAGGATATGCAGAAGATGAAGGTAAGTGAAAATGAACCTCAGGGCTATAAGCTGTATTAGCATACAAGTGCAGGCAAGTCCTTGAAAAATAATAACAAGGTATGACTCAACTCACTTGACAGGTGAAAGAAAGGACAGACTTATGAAAATACATTAGATTGGCAAGAGGAGTTCCAGTTTATCTATTCAATCTTAAGCTACAGGGCAGTATGCAAAAATATTGACCCCATGGGAAGACACCAGAAAAACAAAGCAAAAACCACTTTACTTCTTTTATATCAACTTTCCAAACCACATGACAGTTGAAAATGGGTTGCAATGTTGATATAGGTGACTTAGACTTAATTTAATTCTATATCTTGAGACTGACGTTCCACAGAGCACCAGCGACGTAACAGATTTTCTCACAGGTTATGTATGTGGTGTAATGCATTCTGCAGAACTCAGGCCTTAGCTAACCAAGAATGCCAAGAATCCCCTTGGTCAGTACAAAAGCTAAGGATCGTTCCCCTAATAAGCACACTATAGAAATAACCCAAATTTCTATTGATTTATGTTCTCTAAGTCTGTCTTTGACACCGTCCTGAAGAAGCTACTAATTTATGGCAAAGTTGTATGGTTGATACTGAGTTTTTGACACTCAACTGTCTAGCAATGTACACTCTTCATTACCTACACATGACTATTGCTCCTGTATAAATGGCAACATGTAAAATGAAATCAACTTTTTAACTTAACACAGAATCTTTTCACTGCAAGAAAAAAAAATAGCCACAAAAACCCCCAATAAATAATTACCTGGTTGGTAGAAATTTGGTGAAAGTTCTCTGGCAACTGCTCTTGCAATATCACATTCCTGGCGAGCAGCCTGAGCAGCCTGATCCGCAGCATCAGCTTTAGCTCTTGCATGTGCAGTTCTGTACAGAGTAGAAAACATTTTATATGCAGAGAGAAGTCTTTTATGAGTTGCAACGACAATGTGAGAGCAAAGGACTACTGTCTCCAGCTACCATACACTATACCGTATAGGGCCCAATTATGCCCACTTGCTGTGAGTAACTGCAAAACAAACTATTTCAGAATCAGCACATAATACTTCTCAGTTCTTCAGTCCTGCTCACTCTTGTATCATATTTATGCGTAGGTACACCATTTATAGCCCAAGCTTATAACTAACATTTCTAAACAGAAAAAAATTAGCATCTGATCAAAACCTGGGATTATGATTTTAACACACATTACCAGGATGTGTACAGAAGGTCAGACTGGACCACCACACCAACTCCTGAACAGCGGTCTCTGAGACCAGGATACACGGTGTTCACGGGCACTGAGGAATACTATTACCCTTGCAACATTACAAAGCTAATGCTTATGCTGGGTTCTATGTAAAATTTTAGGAAGGGCAAAATTGAGGTATGCTGGCCCAAAAAACTGAGAAATGTCTTCCACAACCAGACCGTGTTGGAAAGGAATGTGATGGCAAATGTGTTTGAATAGACATTTGTATTAATGTAGACTTAATTTTTTGTAACTCACTGAATTTCAAATCCAAAACAATCTGAAAACTTTTCTGAAGTCAAGACAACAGTTTGGAATGCTTTCCTAAAGTAATCTGCCCTCTGCTTCCACTTTCTTCCTTCGGCTGTTTCTTAAAAAGCCTCAAGAACAGCTTGTGCAAAGTGCCTCTGATTCCAGACTCTGTCAACTGATACTTGTGTTACTGCAGAATTGCATCACTGTTTGTCCCGCCTTCCCTCCCCACTTCGTTTTTTAAACAGTCATCTGTTTAAAAATTCCTGATGGCAGTGATCTCTCTGTGCCTCTACAGCATTAGCACATAGCCTAGAGCTATGAAATGGTTCATTAGAACAGAGGGGAAGCTAAACATGGCAAAACAGCAGAGCTTTTTGAGCCTCTAGAGATATTAATAACGTTTCTAAACCAGATATGTTAAATTTCATGATCTCAGGAATTTTCTCGTAACATTCTAGTAGAAAACTGACACTTAAGTAAGAAAAAAAAATAGTTAAGAGGACAACAGCAGCAGCAACTTTTAATCCCATGTGCCTGGTGATACTCATCAACAGCAATCAAATAAATTAAAACTTTCAACACCACCATTGTAAAAATTCAGTTTGATTTTCAAGGAATAAAGAAGGGTTCTGTGTGTTTTAGACGAAGCAAGAATTAAATGTTAGCATTAACCAGAATGAACACTGAGAGATTAACAGTACGGCAGACTTTGCATTTCTAAAAGGATGTTTAATCCCGTAGGGTACTAGTATAAACACAGACATAAAAATATCCACATAGACAGTTTCATCTGTGATGCCTGAAGAAGATTTATGTAAGTTACATCCTCCCTAAATTGTGTGCAGGGATAAATGCTGAATGTTATTTCAAAGCTTAGCTTGTCATAATTTACAGGATAAGTATCAGCCTATGCTGCCTTCTTGCAGGTCCCTCTAGGTCCCTGAGAAAAAAAGATAATAAGCAAATAAGCGGTAACACCTTTGGCTTGTACTCAGGATGGGGGAAAGAAACTGTTATTCAAAACAAATATACTATATAATCCCATACGTGTTCCGTGCAGCTCATGAATGGTTGCACGGTATGTGCTTGCTTAGCAACAGTAATCAAACCCGTTCTTTCTCTATAATCATTACTTTCAATTAGATAAGCTATTCTTAGCTCCTGCATAATTATGTCTATGTAGCATAAACTTAATGAGGCAATCGTAGCACTGGGACATTGTTTCATGAGACAATAATGTAGTCTGCACACAGATAAACTAGACACTGATCATCCTTTTGTGATGACAGAACCACCAGACTATTCCCATATAAAAATCATCTAACACTACTGCAACCGCTGCAATAGACGTTTTAAAAGCCAATATCCTAAATGACCAGGAAAACATAATGCCAGGACAGTACAGTTATTTATTGATGCCTGTGAATTTTCTGTATTATGAGATTCAAGAAACAGATCCCACATCCTGTCCAAACATACAGTATCAAAGTAGTGAAGGAACTAATGGTGACACGAGTAACAACCTAGTGAAACTTTGTCCCATGAAGCTGGGCAGAAGCAAGTCACAGGAGACAGAAGCCAAGGCAACAGAAGGTAAATGAACATGGCATTCCTTGGCTGCCTTATCTCACACCCTTTTTTTTTTTTTAACCTCGCACTTCCTGCTATGCTGCCCCTTTTGTACTCAGTCAGGAGTCCCAGCAGACCAGAACAGGACAGGGCATGTCCCAGCGACACACTTCACCAGTGCTTCCGTGCCGTACCACCCCTGAGAGCCATGCAGCAGGAAGAACTAAATAGGCACAGGAGAGTCAGGCACAAGAGTGGTTATGCTCCTGACCAGGACTTCCACCAGCCAAACTGGAGTGTGCGCACATGGCTGCGCTGAGACACCTCCCTGACGGCCTCCTCAGCAAGCTTTCTCCACGACATGGCAAATGTGAAAAGAACGGGAGAAACCGGCAGAGCCGGTGCTTCGGTCCTGAACAGAAGCACTGTGCTTCCCCTGTAAACAAAGGCTCTTCAATATTTGCATTATTTGCTATTTAGCACCTTGGCACTTGGATGCCGTACTGGCCAACTTCAGCAATGTGCACTTTATTATCTCAATTTGCAGCTGTACATTCGGATATTTCTTTGACTTCTTACACACTTTAAGTGTCAGACTCAAATAATTTTTCTGTTGCTATTTAATTTCCCATTTTTTTTTTTAATTGAGTTCCACACTTGATTTGTCTGCATGTTTTCCTGCGTACAGTTACTGCTGTTTGGCACTACATTTTGGTTATACTTGGTTTATTCTGCCTAGCGCTGACCCCCACGCTATCAGAGACATACCACGGAGACATATGTTAGTTTTGACTGACAATGTCTGTAAGGGAGAGCCATCAGAGCAGGGTAGCCCCATTGAAATAGAATCCATTTGCTCCATTTATGCTTTACACAGGTTGGGAAAGCCTTCTTTGCCTTTTATCCCTGGAGTAGTTTTGTCAACATAAAGTCTTGAGTTTTATTATCAGTAATCATTCACGGAAATTTAAGCCTATGATACACCAAGTCAAACTGACCCCCATTTGAATGACCACCATGTACTTGAAAGTTGCTTTTAGTTTTCCCAGAGTGCTCTACATCTGTTGCTGTGACAAGAAATCTATATGAGAACTTTTGAATGGGAAAACTCAAAAAAATGCCTCCTTTCCAGTCCCCCAGACAAAAGAAAGAGTGCAGTAGGCTTTGCATGCCATTCCACACATTCTCCAGGAAGGGTCAAACCTGAACTTTCAGCAGCAAAAAGAAACTATGCAGGGAAGTAGGTAGCAATTCAGACTGCAAAACAGTACAGGAAAATGAGTGACCTGCTTTGCAGTGCTGCATTCAGGTTCTAACTCACAGCAAAGGCCATTTAACGATTTTTCTTTGAGATGAGTGTCAGTCCTTTGTAAAAATTCATTCAACACCAACTGTAACACATAATACACATTCCTAACTTTTGAAATGCCATGTGATTTTACATGCATATCTACTGGAAAGTATCAATCTACCATTAATATTACATGTGATGTCTCAAATGTGCTTGAAAGCTTTCAAAACTATATAAAACATATTCAGGCCAGAGAAGAGAAGGCTCTGGGGAGACCTTATAGCACCTTCCAGTACCTGGGCCTACGGGGAAACTGGGGGGGACTTTTTACAAGCACCTGTAGTGACAGGACAAAGGGTGACTGGTTTAAATTGAAAGCAGGGAGATTTAGATCAGATGTAAGGCAGAAATCCTTTCTGGTGGTGAGACACTGGACCAGGTTGCCCAGAGGAGCTTTGGATGCCCCACTCCTGGAAGTGTTCAAGGCCAGGCTGGATGAGGCTTTGAGCAACCTGGTCTAGTGGAAGGTGTCCCTGCCCATGGCAGGGGGTTGGAACTAGACGGTCTTTAAGGTCCCTTCCAACCTAAACCGTTCTATGACTCTATGAAAATTAAAGTATTTAAAACAAAACCAGTTCGTATTTAGAGAGACAATCTACCACTTAACTAATGAGTCCACAGTGGTGGTAAATGCAGTCAAGACAGGGACAAAATTAAGTTGTATCTGTGACAGGAATCAAACTGTAAGTACATTAAAAAGGAACCCACAGCTATGGGTCATGCAGAGTGCTGGTACCAGGCGACTGCATGTGGAATCCCTGTATCTACCAGTCCCTGCTGTCAGTGAGCAAGGGCTGGAAGACCAATGGTTAACTGAACAGCTTTGCTATTGTGAGAAATTTTATTTGGACTCCTATCAGTGTGTGATTTCAAAAGAAGCCTAAGCTGTGGGACAACTGATACCATTAGCGATACCTTTCTTCTCTGTGGTTGGTTGGGTAGGTAAACATACACATCAGCTTAGCTACGCTCGAGAGATTGTAAGCACGGAGTCAGGGGCTTCTTAGAAGCATTCTCCCCCTTCCAGCAATACTACAATCAGATTTCTATCGACTTATGCCTGAGAAGTGACTCGAAGGAGGAATATTCAGGGCTGAAGAGCTTAAACAACATTATCTAGCATTCTGCAGCAACAATGCTTATATATAATGCCATGTGCCAGGAATGCATTATGTAATGTTTATCTGAATTTAAACCCCATTTAGAACTGTCCATTACCCTTCAGATTATTTTGTATTTCCATGGTATCCTTCAACTCACTTGCAATGCTGCCTCATTCACAGTCAACTACAAATGTAAGCAACATATGTTTACTTTGTTTCATTTTTCAGCTTTTATTAAACACGATGATTCCAGCATAAAGCTTTCCAGCAGCTTGCTTTTTATTCCTTAAAATGGCACAAATAATCTTCTGTTTTCTATTTGCTAAACTTTATCAAAATTTTCATGAACTATCCTAAA